GTGCTTCAGTGAGGAAATAAACAGAGCGTGTTTGGCGCCCAGGGGAAGGCGGGCTCACCGCGGTCCCAGCCGTGGGCTTGCGTCCTCCTGAGAGCCCCACAGGCTGGCCGGGGACAGTTGTATTGTGGGAATTGTTGCCCTTCATCCGAGGAGGGGGAGATTGGAATAAGATCATAGAATTGGTAAGGTTGAAAAAGGCCTCTAAAGTCATCGAGTCCAGCCGTTAATCCAGCACAGCCGTGTTCACTGTTAAACCATATTCCCAAATGTCACATTCACACACCTTTTGAACGCTTCCAAGGACAGTGATTCCACCGCTTCCCTGGGCAGCCTGTTCCAATGCCTGACAGACCTTTCAGTGAAGAAATTTTTCTTGATATCCAACCTTAATCTCCCCTCTTAACTTGAGGCCGTGTCCTGTCATTCTGTCACTGATCGCCTGGGAGAAAAGTCCAACACCCACCTGGCTACAACCTCCTTTCACGTAGTTATAGGGAGTGACAGGGTCATCTTGGAGCCTCCTTTTTTCTCCAGGCTAAACAACCCTAGCTCCCTCAGTCACTCTTCATAGGATTTGTGCACTGCTCCCTTCAGCAGCTTCATTTGCCCTTCTATGGACACGATCCAGCAGCTCCATGTCTTTCTTTCAGAGGGTGGCCCAGAACTGAACACAGTACTCAAGGTGTGGCCTCACCAGTGCCAAGTACAGAGGGACAATCATTGCCCTAGTCCTGCTGGCCACACTATTCCTGATACAAGCCAGGACGCCTCTGACCTTTTTGGCTACCTGGACACCATGTCGGCTCATGTTCAACTGGCTGTCAACCAACACCTCCAGGTAAGACACTGGGAGAGGCTGTGGTGTTCCAGCTCATCTTATAGTCTCACTGTAGGCAGTAGCTGAGACAGTTTGACTGAAAAATTCCTAAAGTTGATACTGATTAAGTGGCAGAGGAGACAGTCCAAGAAGGAGGGGGTTTGCTAAGCATGACATTAGATCACATATTTGTAAACAGGAAAATAGGTCTCTCATTGATGTGTCTGCCTTCACTGTACATCTTAGGCTGTAACTTGAGTGTATTTACATACCATAGCTACAGTCTATCCTCATCTGAAAGTTTTATGTATTTCACTGAAATTATGCCATTGCATGTCTGGTGGGAGCTTGTTGCTGCTTCTCAAGGAACAGCAAGGGCCAGCTACTCCAAAAGGGAAGGGGAGCCTGGAGCAGAGCATGGTATCAAGGCAGGTAAGAAAAGTAGCCTCACCAACAAGAAGCCAGGATGCTAAGGATGAGCCAGAGTAAGGATCAGGACCTCAGTGTCAGGCATAGTCCAGAGATCACCTGGCCTCAGTGAGGTGGCAGGTCCTAGGGCAAGCCAGGATGCCAAGCCAATTCGTGTGGCTCAAACCAGGTGCAGACATAGGGAACCAACAGTAAAGACTGCTTAGAATGAGGAGGAGGAGGAAAGGAGGGTCAGGACCTTTTTGTAGCTATCTTCATAACAGCTCTTATTAGTGGAAGAGCTAACTTTGGACTTGACAAACTAGACTCCTTAATTCAGCCATCTAAACTTGTTGAAGGTGGGTGCACTCAGGGCCCTAACGCTGTCCTCTTTGACATTATTTCTGGGAAAAAAATAAGTGTCTTATATGCAGGCTGTCCTGAAATTATCAGAGGCTTTAGAGTCTGCAGGATTTTTTTAGCTATTCTGTATATCTTTGAGAAGCTGACATTTACAGCTTTTCATGTTTCCGTACACTGTGTTTAAAGGAACGTAAGTAGAACACAGACAGAGACCTTTCTGAGGAGTAGATCTGATCGAAAAAGCAGCATGGATGGAAGTTTGTTATGTCCCAGCTGGGCTGCTTTGCCAGTGCCAGCTGTGGACTGGGGTAAAATGACCATAAGGGCTTGCAGAGGCAGCATAAGTAGGAGTCATACATTAGGAGTGAAGTGATGCCTTTTAGCAAAGGCAGGAGTTCACAGATATCCTTCTTACCTGCATTAGGAGAAAAGTGTTGGAAAACTGGGAAATGCTGTAGAGAACACAGGCACTTTACATGCACATGTGTCTTGGCAGTTCTGGCAATGAGCAGAAATCACATCAGCTTGTACCATGTAGTGAAACATGAGAGGGACTAATGCCAAACCTTTTGAATGGAAACATGTGCCTTTTGGGTAATGATGTTTCAAAAGCTTCTGTAAGGAACAAATATGTTATCATGGGCATTGAAGAAAATGGGCATGTAAAATAAAAAAAAAAAAGAGGAAAATGTATGAATTTTACAGATTACTGAAAAACTTACAGAATGGAGACTCTTTACATTAGTGAGTGGGATTAACTAGAAGTTGAACTGCCTTCCTCCCGACAAGTGTGAATCTCATTGTTTTCAGGGCTTTTTGCTATGTGGTTTTTGTTTTTTTAATAATTCCTTGGCTTAGCAACTGTTTAACTGTTCATATTCTTTTTCAGTGGATCTTATATTTTCTTTTCCTGTAAAGTATTTCACTACACCTAATTCCTGAGTGATGACATATATTTGTCTGTTGTCTCTTTGAAGACTTCCAAGTTTGACCTGTGATTCTCCCCTGTGCAGACTACCATCGGTACAGCATCACTTCTTTATTATCAGATGCCCCAAATGGATTTTTCCTCTTGAGGTAGGCACCTCCAGTGTCCAAAATCATCTTGGATTCTAATTTTTTCTTGCAGCATTTCTAAAGAGACACATTCATGGCAGCTTGTTCAGCAACGCTCCCACTTTTTTTCCTTTTTTTTCAGTGTAACAGACATTCTGAATTCCTATCTCAGGTCTTGATGCTTCCATTCACAAAAAGCACAAACATTAGTCAACTCTAGCTGATTTTCCAGACCTTTTTATTGTTTATCTTACTATAAGGAGCAAAATAAGGTCTTTTTAGTGCCCATGGCTCCTCCCACTGTACATCAGTTCTTGGTGTAGGTAAGTAGGATATTCCCAAACACCAACAAAACCTTCAGAACTATTTCCCCCTTCCTTCTTGGTGCTGTGGTTTTACATGTCATCACCTACACCCACAGTCTATTGTACCTAGTGCCTT